TGGAGAGGTTTTTGTTATAGGGCGCATGCGCTCGCCAGAAAGACAGAGACGGACAGAAAGTGAGAAATCACCCCCCAGGGGGGATGGCCACGCCGCAATCCCTTCTCCTCCATTCTCCTCTCAGGATTTTGGGCACACACATGAGCTCGGCGTGAGTTTAAGTCCCTGGGTCCAGGACTTGAACCACGGTTGACTACATGGGAGTCCAGAGACATAGCCATTACGCCAACTGCTGGTCCCTGGTCCCTCTTAGTAGACAGCACACAGAACCCGAGGTCTGCAGACATTCACCTCTACAGCCTGTGGTCTCTGAACTCCAAGTCCAGCCATCCCCTGCTGCTCAGATGTGGGCAGAGAGTGGGGACATTTTCCCAAGGTCACCCAGGTCTCCCTTTCTGCTCTGCTCACCAGAAGGTCCTTCTTGGTTCCCACGAGGAAGATGAAGCAGGAGCCGGCCTCGTTCTCCCTCAGTGCGTCCTCCAGCCACTGCCTGGAACACACGGGTGAGAAAGGGAGAGATGCCATGCACCCAGAGGAGCCCGAGGAAGATTCAGGTGGGGTGCAGACTTGGGGCCTCCCAGGGCCAGGAGCATGGAGCAAGGAGGGACCCGGCCACTGGCTCGGGTTTCGGGAGCCCTGTCGGGCAGGTTCCTGAGCCCTCGTGGACCCGGAGAGCTGCAGAGCCTGGCACTTGCCTGGTGTGTTCCAGAGTCTGCACGTCGGTGAGGTCAAAGGCCGTGATGATCACTGGACGCATGGGGAAAAGCCGACAGCCAATCAGGTGAGGCAAAGTCAGTGTGGCAAAGAGGGGCTCCCTTCGGGCACCTCCCCACTCCCCAGGAGGAACCCAGGTGGAAGCTCAGCTCACAAGGAGCCACTGGGGAGGCCCCTGGCATTCCGGTTTGGACTCCACAGTGGAGGCTGGGGTGGAGACACCCCATGACTGCCCCAGGGCTCACCCTCCATCCTCCCTTAGGGCTAAAGGAGCCCCAGTGAGGGTCCGAATGGCTGAGGGCCTCGGTCTCCCCATCTGTACAATGGAGAGGAGGATGCCTCTAGCTCTCAGGGATGCCGGGAGGGCCAGGGGAGCAGCTGTTGCAAAGTAGTTCTTAGTCCAGGGCTGACCGGGGCAGACTTGCAAGCAGAAGCAGCTATGGCTGTGACGACGATGAGCAACCCTCAGCTGTACGGAAACAACTTCTGAGGAGCCAGGTGGACAGAGAATGGGGAGATGTGGCCCCTGCCCTCAGGGTGGCTCCACCCTTGCAGTGCCCTGTGTGGCTGGGACCCTATTAGGGTCCTGAGGGAGCCAGATCGGATAGACATTCCAGACCAGCGGCTGCTCTCTGCTGCCCCCCAGGGGTGTAAATAGGGCTGGGCAGGGGCTTCCTCTACTGGGCTGTGGGCTACAGGAGAGTCCCTGTCTCTTTTGAGGCAGAGGGGACAGGAAGGGAGGGAGGAAACCGAGGCTGGGGATGCTGTTGCAGAAAATGGCTTGGTGCCTCACACCTCTGACACCCAGGGGGACAGGAAGCCCTCAAGAAGGGAAAGGCAGGGGGGCCCACAGGTGGCGCTGGGGTTAAGGGCGTTGGACTCCCACATGGCCGAACGTGGTTTGAGTCCTGGACCTGATGACTTGCTTTCTCACTTTCCCTGCCTTCTTCTCTCTCCCTCTCACTTACTCCCTCTCTGGTCAAATTAAAATAACTAAATAAATTAAATTAATTTTTTTTTCTTTTTTTGGAGAGTTTTTTGCTATAGGGCACGTGCACTCGCCAGAAAGACAGAGAGAGACAGAAAGCGAGAAATCACCCCCCGGGGGGATGGGCATGCCGCAATATCCCTTCTCCTCCATTCTCCTCTCGCGATCTAGGGCACGCATGCACACGTGCCTTGCATGAGTTTAAGCCACCAGGTCCGGAATGCGAACCGCAGTCGACTACATGGGAGTCCAGCGACATAGCCATTACGCTAACTACTAGTCCCAAAAAACTTTCTTAAAAAAAGAAGGGACAGGCTGAGAGCTGAAGGGTGCCAGAGGCCAGCAGACATGGCAGGGTTGGAGTGATGGCTTATGGCCGAGGGGCTCCAGGACTCCTGGTTTGCTTCTTATTCTTGCTTCCTTTTCTTCAAATCTTAATAAAAATGAGGTGTGTTTTGGTTTTGGGGTGTTCTTTAATTTTTGTGATTACTAGTGAGTAGACACAACCATGCCTTCTCCTCTGAGTCGGGCCTTGGATTCTTCGCCGTTCTCTGGTGGTTCGCACTGAGGGCCCTCTCTGACTTCCTAGTGGGGAGATCTTGTGCAGTTGCTTCTCACGACTGAGAGCCCCGCCGCCCCCAGGCTGCCCGCCAAGCCCTGCTGGCCCCACCCGGACCTGCCAGGCCTCCTGTGGCCCACCTCCACCCCGCCTCTCTGGCCTAGTCCCTTCTCCCAGCTCCTTCTGGAATCCGACACCGTCCTTTTCTGAGCCTTCTGGATAAGCCGTCCCTCTCTGAGCATCTTCCTGAGCTGAAAACTCAGAGGCTGAGACTTCAAGCCAGCACTCAGCCCCACTGGGTCCCTGGAGGGTGTGATTTCCAAAGCCAGCCAGGGATCGGCTTGAAGGCAGCCTCTCTGTCCCCACGCTCTGGCC